GCTTAACGGAAGTAGTGGTAACTTCGAGAGATTCTCTCAGGGAACTAGACTAGCCACGAGGTGGTGAACCAGTATACATCGGTGTGTTCTTTGCCTTCTCTCTTTTATTTCCGCTGCACTTACGTTTATATTATTAATCCTGCGAAAATCGGTAAACATTCTCAACAACTCTATTCACGCAATGTCTAACATTAGTTAACAAAAACACTTATTTTATGGAAATTGAATTTCATATTTATTAAACACAGATTTCTCAGCATAATCGCGTTTAAAAACTTTTATATTTTACATCATTATTGAAAAATATTAAAATTTAATAATATATTTTGATACGTAGTATTTAAACAAGAACTCATACTAAAAAAAAATCAAAACAGACAAATTTATTCCAAGAAAGGATAGATTAATAGGACTAAAGTAAATCTTTATATATAAAATTTGAGAGTTGGGCTTCTAGGATTGTGACATGTGGAACACTTATAAGACAACTTTTTTGACATGTCAGCACGCCATGTGAGCAAGTAATATTCAAAGAATTAGTTAACAGAAACACTTATTTTATGGAAATTGAATTTTGTATTTGTTAAGCACAGATTTCTCAGCATAATCGCGTTTAAAAAATTTAATATTTTACTTCATTATTGGAAAGTATTAAAATTTAATAATATATTTTGATACGTAGTATTTAAACAAGAAACTCATATTTAAAAAAATCAAAACAAACAAATTTATTCCAAGAAGGGATAGATTAGTAGGACTAAATTAAATCTTTATATATAAAATTTGAGGGTCGGACTTCTAGGATTGTGACATGTGACACGCTTATTAGTCAACTTTTTTGACATGTCAGCTTGCCATGTTAGCAAGTAATATTTATAGAATTAGTTAAGAAAAACACTTATTTTATGGAAATTAAATTTTGTATTTGTTAAACACAGATTTCTCAGCATAATCGCGTTTAAAAACTTTTATATTTTATTTCCTTATTGGAAAATATTTAAATTAAATAATCCTTTCCTATAATAAAGGAGACTCCGATTTACAGCAATTTGACATTTGGCATGTCTATTTGGCAAAACTTTAACATGTTAACGCCACGTAATAATTGAGTAAAATTTAAAGAATATTATACACAGAGTAAGAAATTGATGCCGATTAAATTGATGACCATTAAGATATTAATTGATAAAAAGGTTTAAATAATTTTCATATACATGTTTATACCACGAAGGTTAAAAAGAAAAAAAATTATATACGATCCCCAATGCAATGTTTATTACATAGCACATGGCTTATTTTTATTAAAAAGAAAAAATATGATAAAAAGTATTCATTCACACCTCAAATTTTAACATCTTTGAGGTTAACATTATTTTTCAAGTACTTCTACAGTATTGAAAAACCTACTAGCAACTTGAATTCACAAAACAAATAAACGGCCATAATATTGAAGTAAAAAAAAATACTCTGATGTTTATTTGAAACCAAAAAATATATCATACCCAAACACTATTTTCTTTAAAAATAAAATTGAATAATATAAATTTGATATTTCAAAATCTTTTTGAAAATAGAAATGTATTCTATGTATATTAAAACGCAACAAAAATATGAATGGAAAAATAATGCATTTTTTTAGTATAACACATACCTTATTTATATTAAAAAAGAAAAAAAACCGAATAATAATTTGACTTTTCCAAAAATTAAAAAAATAACTTAATAAATTAATGAAAAAAAATTTAAAAAAACATGTGGTTGAAATTTATTTAAAAAAAGAAATGATACTCAAATTCTTTTCCTTAACAAAAAGAAAATGGTAAAATTTAAAATTTATTTTTAATTTTTTTTAAAATAATAATAAGAACAATGAACATATCTTTTGTATACCCTGAAGTCTTTCAGAAAATTTGGTATTGATTTTTTTTGTGTTGTACACAATCAATCCCTCAAATATTATTTATTCCACTTTGGTTTTATTGTATGATATTAAATATCATGCGAGAAGTATATTTTCTTTATTCTTGAAAAAATATTGCTTTAAATTTTATTTAGAATCGACAAAATATTTTGTTCCACCCGTGCATGGCACGGGTTCAAATACTAGTATATATGTAAAGTTGAGTTTATTTGTAACTTTTTAACTTTTAAAAATTCTTTAAACATAAATTTCACCATTGTAAAATATACTCCTTATTATATATATATGTATATATATATATATATATATGATTATTTTTATACTATTCACCATTTATTTTAGTTTATTTCTCAAAAAATATGTATATAAATTTAATCACATATGCATATTTAGTAATAAAATACTTTGCTTCAAAACTTTTATCTTATCACATTATTTATTTTATTACTAAAGATATTCTTCAACAAAGTAAATACAATAAAATTGGTTTAATTAAAGGGTGACAAGTGACATTATGACACATATATATTCTCTAATGATGTATCATTATTTAATTAGTCCATTTTTTATTATATATTTTATTATTTAAAACCATTTTCATTAGTACTTCATTCAATGAACACTAATTTTGTATAAATCTTTTTTTTTTTAAATTAACACACCAATATATATTCCATCAATTTAAAACATATTTTGTCACTATTAGAAAACTAAAATACAAAACTTATATTTATAGAATGTCAAAATTTTAGAATGTATATGAGCCCGTGCGAAGCACGAGATTGACACTAGTATAGTAGTAATTTAGTCTATTGGGATTTTTCCAAATTGAAAAGGATTTGGATTTTGGAGTACCTGCGTATTATATTATTTTATAATATAAAATCTTTATATTTATTTATTAAACTATAACGTCTATTTTCCTATCACGGTTTACTCGTATGTCCAAAGTTAACAAATAATATACCGTTGGTCACCATTTTACGAAATCTACCCAAAAACCTAATTTTTGAATATAATGGTCAACTTTACAAATACAAATAAATATTATTTTCTTTTTAATAAATTAACGACTAACTACTAAGTCGGTTTTCGGGTCGTTACATTTTTTTCCTCCTTAAAAGAATTTCATCCCCGGAATTCCTTAGTCTAACGTCTACTCAAAATACATGCACATGAGGTTCACACAAATAAGAACATAAAGAACACATATCATACAACTAATCGTTGTCAAGTTAAGTTATGAAGTGTACCATCGTAAACATCGTTATCCTGGGGGTCTGCGTGTCCTATCATTGTATAAGTTTGCGCTGGGGCTCTCCCTGGGTGCTTATTCTGATTTCTTTGCTGATTCGTTCCCGCAGTCGTACGTTGGTTTTCCGCTGGCTGCGTCGTAGTTGTTTGACTTCTTACTGGAGCGGACGGGAAAGGTTCACCAGAATCAAACCCGTGATTGCTGCTGCCTTATGATTTGGATTTTCCCTAACCATAGCGCGTATAAGCAAGATATACGAGGTCTTGAGAGCCAATGCGGTTAGAAACCCATAATATAGTCCCGCTATAATCACCGAATTGATGGTTTTTGATAGGATACTTGATGAAATATTGTACGAATATGTCTCGTCTTACCACAGCCCAAACAAAGTTCTCGAGTATACCAACACTCTCCATGATGATTTCACCCACAAAGGTCACATGTAAGATACCTTGATGCCTTTGACCTACTACTAGAGGCCACCGATTGGGTAGGTGCTGGTTGGACCTGTACTGCCTTTCTTCGCATGAGATGCCTCACTGGTCTCACCTAACGGTCTTTTTCAAAAATTACAAATACAATTTAGATTAATATATAGTTTAGTGTTATTGACTCTTTTACTAGGTAGCAGATGATCAGATTATTCTCAACCTAATGACGCACAAAAAGCCAATGTCTCCTCCTCCGTTGAGGCTCGAACTTGGGTGAACTTTCCTATTAATCTGGGTGAGTGGGCTTCCTACCACTAAAGTTAGGTGAGAAGTTCATTTTGGATAAAATTTAATGGCATAAAAGAAAATAAAAAGAGATTAAATTTTCAAAAGTAGACTATACCTTTTTTAAATAAAATATGAAATTTTTAAAATAAAATAACTATTTAAACATTTTTTAAACTCTTTAAAAACTTTTCTATCTCTTTCCAGTTTCTTCCAACTCCTTCTACATGTTTTACAATTCCTTCTAGTTCCTTCCAACTCCTTTCAGTTTTTTTCGACACCCAACTCTATTTTTCCAACCGAAAGAAAGATAATCTAATTATACCTATTTATAATAGATGTTGTATTTTAGTTAGTTTTCCTTTTCTATTTCTAATTGTGTTAGCAGTCTCTCATATATATTTTTTTCATGTACTCCACAATTCAATGAGTAATATTATTATTCCAATATTTCAACAAAACTAAAATTAAAGATTTAAAGATGAGGGTCAGATCTAAAGAAGACGAAGAGAAGGAGAAGTAGAAGGAAAAAATAAAAACCAATCACGGTCACCGGCATGCAGATGCCCACGCCGAATCCCGATCGGAGTGGGGGGGGGGGGTGGGGGGATTTCCCGGTTGGGACGGGCTGCCACATCCACAATACCGATCCCACACCCCATTGCCTTAGCTTGTTTTGGCTTTGGCTTTGTTTGGGAACAACATTTTCGATTAGCGTTAGCGTTTTGGATAAAATTTTAATGGTGTAGATTAATTCCAAAAACGCTAACTCCAAAGGCTACCGCCGGACAGTCTTTTCAAAACGCTAATGCTAATAGCTGACGCTGATGCCAAACGGGGCCTATGTGAACCGAGTTTGACCCATTTGACCCTCCTCCCCATTGTCCAAATAAATTTTCGCAACTCTATGAGTCAAGTGGCTAGCTCTTGACCTAAAAAGTAAAGTAAAAGCTTGCCCATTTTTTCATCTTCAAACAACCTTCTAAAAAGCATATTATTCTTCCTTCCTCAACCCCACTATTTGCTTCCCAAGCAAAGCATCCACGCACCTTGAATCCATGCCCCCACACACGTACTTATATATGCACACACATCATCTATCGAACTCGTTATATCACCTACCCATCCCCCCCACCCCAAAAAAAAAAAAACGGAGTATTTATTCCATTTTCCCATTAAACGAATTGAAGAACAAAAGAAATAAGAATGTGCCCAACAGAAGCAACTGGTGTCATGACACCACCATGCACCCACAACAGCAAGTTTACGCATAGGATGATCTTGAAAACTATACTCGAGCATAGCGATGGCGGAATGGGACTTATCGGACAAAAGGCGGTGATCGGAGGGTGGGTTACCTTCTCCAGGGAGTGGAGGAAGCCTATCTCGTCTCCCGACGAGTTGGATCCTCATGTGCCAATATTCTCCGTTCTCCAAGTAAATGACGGCTCGTCTCCTAAGAGGCTTCAGGTAAATGTAAAAAAAATTTCATGTATTGGGTCCTATTTCGCTTTATACAGAGTATTTGTATTTTAGAATGGGTTTTTCTCTCGTGCCTTTACAATTTTCTCACATTTGTGTTTTTTGATGCAACATAATAATACTACAGACTTAATTACTCCGTAATATGTTTCTTTTAATTTCTTAAAAGTTACAAAGTTTACCCCATCTCAACATATGCTTTTGTTTCCTTACGTTCCACAACACTTCCATTCACTTTGACTACTTTAGGAGTATTTATTATTATTATTATTACTATTATTATTACTCTTTTTATATTATTATTACTATATTATTAATATTACTTTTATTTTTATTTTTATTAATATTACCATGTATTATTAGTGTTTATTATTATTATTATTATTTTTATTTATTTCTCTTATTAATCTTTTCACTTTTATTAAAAACTTACGCTCTGCAATTTTATAACTTAACTTTTTTAATTATTTCCAATTTTCAATACATTAGTTATTATATATATAATAATTATATTAACGTCACGCTTACCATTTTATATTACTCACGTTAATTATTATAAAAATAATAGCTATATTAACTTCCACTTACAATACGTTAATTAATTATTATAAAAATAATAGCTATTATTATATTTATACCTTTTTTAATAATTATAAATGCACAATTTCAGCCACCTACCATTATAACATCACAATTATTTACTTACCTTTTGGCCATTTTATAATTATTATAAATATAATAATTATAATAATTATTACTACAATTTCGGTCACTACAATTATTAACTTACCTTTTTTAATTAGTTCCAATTTTCAATACGTTAATTATTATATTTATACCTTTTTTAATAATTATAACTTCACAATTGCGGCCACTTACCATTTTAACTTCACAATTATTAACTTACCTTTCGGCCATTTTATAATTATTATAAATATAATAATTATTACTACAATTTCGGCCACTACAATTATTAACTTACATTTTTTAATTATTTCCAATTTTCAATACGTTAATTATTATATTTATACCTTTTTTTAATAATTAGACCTTCACAATTTCGGCCACTTACCATTTTAACTTCAGAATTTATTAACTTACCTTTGGCCATTTTATAATTATTATAAATATAATAATTATAATAATTATTACTATAATTTCGGCCACTACAATTATTAACTTATCTTTCGGCCATTTTAACATACCTTTCTTTAATTATTATAAATATAATAATAATAATAATAATAATAATTACTATAATTTCGGCCATTTACCATTTTAACTTCACAATTGCCATTTGTAATTGTCATACTCTTTGTGCGGGAAAACCATATGTTGACTCCATGTCTTATTAAATAAAGTATGGATTAATTACCAATTATAAACGGTGTCATGTCATATTATTTGTTCCTTTTTTTAAATTAATTACCAATTATAAATGGTGTTATATTATTATATGTTCCTTTTTTAAAATGATTACGTGTTAGAATTGGTTATTGCCGTGTGATAAAAAAGGAAGAGTATTTATTATAGCTTATAAACCATTTTTAGATTAATTATTATTATTAGTATTATTTAGATTAATAATATCACATTTTTAAAAAGTACCTTTTAAAAATCAGAGATAAAACTGTTCGTATTCAAAAGGAAATTGGGACTTACCTTTTTTAATTATTTCCAATTATTTTTTTTGTGAAATTGGGTGTATAATTGTATAACTTACCTTTTTTAATTATTTCGAATTAGTTTTTTTTTGAGAAATTGGGTGTATAATTGTATAACTTACCTTTTGTAATTATTTCCAATTAGGTGTAATTATTAAAATACCGTGTGATAAAAAAGGAACAAATTCCGAATGCCCCTACACAAAAAAGGATAAAATAACGTACGAAATTGTATAATTAGTACACTCCATACGAATTGATAAATTCAGTGTGATAAAAAAAGGAACTGTATTTATAGCTTTTAAACCATTTTTTTAGATTAATTTTTTAAGATTAATAATATTACGTAATAATTAATTTTTAGATTTATAATTTCACGTTTTTAAAGGCATTGTGTGTAAAACCTAATATTAATTTTAACTTCATAATAATTAACTTTCCATTTGTAAATGTAATAACGCATGAAGAATTGTATTTTCATTAATGAATTATGTGAGGAGTACATGTATATATACAAAAGTCTCAATCATAGTTATGGTAGGAGAGATATTCTAGGAAACCTATACAAGTATGGAAACAAATCATAATACAATAATATTAAATATATTTTATATATTTAACAACACATGGAAAATTAAGCATAGGCGCATGTTTTTAATAAATATTATTATATTTTTGGCAACTTACCATTTTAAGTGAACAATTGCCATTTGTTAATGTAATAAAAATTACCATTTTAAGTGAATAATTGCCATTTTTTGTAAATGTAATAACACATGGAAAATTAAGCACATGCGTAAGTTTTTAATATTTATTATTATATCTTCGGCAACTTACCATTTTAAGTGAACAATTGCCATTTGTTAATATAATAACGCATGAGCGGGAAAAACAAAGGTTGACTTCATGTCTTTTTAAATAAAGTATGGATATGGATATTTCTTCTGTTTGGTTTGGATGGGAAAGGGAGAAAAGAGAGAAAATTTGCTAAGCACAGATGGGAAAAGTTTTATAAGCTACAAAGGTTAGAAAAGGACACTAGTGGAGAGAAAATTAACCAAATTACAAATGTGCCCTTTTATTATCTTCTTCACAACCACAATCACCATACATATCTTTTCACATTTTTTCTTTTTATGGACAAAATTGTCTACTACTTTATTACGTTTTCTTTCTTGTTACTTTTCTCATCATTTTGAACTCATCTAAACAACAATCATTTTATTTTTCATTTTCTCATCATTTTCTTTTCTCCATATTTTCTTTCCCATCAATTTCTTTCCTTCCATTTTTTCTTTGGGGGCCCTCCATTGGACACCCTCCAGGCCGCCCATGACATTAACAGTGCGAGTACCTTCACCTCAATCTTCACATTAGTATGTGTATTATGTATGGATTTTCTTTTTAGGTATTGGTGGACTCGAGGCTAGAGAGTCCGGGCAAAGTGATGCCGACGGGAACGTGCATATTAGTAGAAGGGATATTGCAGAAGGCGTCATTGCAGGGAGGGAGACAAGTGCAAGAAATAGAACTGGTGGCGACTGAAGTTTTGAACCTGGGGACTGTTGAGAAGAATGACAATCCACTGGCAAAGAGATGCATGCCTCTTCAGTTGCTCAGGGATTATCCTCATTTACGAACCCGGACGGAACCGGTATTGTTCATGAAATTCAATTCCATCTATTTTCTATCTTCTCTATTAACATCTCATTATCACATTGAGAGGACTTCTTATACAGAAGTAAAAGACAATGAAAATACGAAATAAAAAAAAGTACGGAGTAGCAATTTTTTTGTGACTTAAATAGGAGTTTGCATTACCTCTCTCACATTGCAAGTTGCTGCTATACTTCTAGACAACATGGTCACTAGAGCGTGCACCGCCACTAGTGGCCTGAGTGTCGTCTCTAGTTGTCGTAGCTCCAACGCAGGTCACCGGGCGCTGGCATTGATCACAGTTAACCGGTGGTCCACCATCACACTGTCATCATTCACATTGTTTTATTGTTATCACTATGCAACCATTCATACTTCCAAATTCCTATTTAGGAGATAAAAAACAATGGCACTCCTATATTAGTATTTTGATGACATTTCACTCATATAGACGGACACTTCTTTAACATTAATATGTCAAAACTCTTTTAAACTAAGAGAATGATAGGGCCGGGGTACCCCAAGTGGTGTACCCTCTTTGTACACCAAAGGATTCACACACTTAATGTTTGTTTATTGTACAGACATTGAGTATTTCTTTAAACTAACATCCGATTATTATCAACAATTATATATATTGCAGATGGGATCTGTTAGACGACTACATGATTCAGCATTTCGGGCACTGACCGCCTTTTTCCAAGACAACGGGTTTCTGCACGTGCAACTGCCCGTAATTCATAGCTCACACAACGGATTCACCTACGGAAAATTTCAAGTCATTGTTGCAGAAAATAAGGATACTAATAACAAGAGAGATGATGAGGAAAAGGAAGATGTTGGGGTTTCAAACTGCAAATGCAATGAAGAAAATAATGATAATAACAATAATAAAGATATGAAAGAAGGAGATGATGAGCATAATTCATCACAAGCAGAAGACAAAGGAAAAGAACTTGTAGGCGATTCAGACAACAACGCACAAGATGACATAATTAATCATGTGGTGACCAAAGATTTCTTTCCAGATGAGCCCGTGTATCTGACTGCTCACGCACGTCTTCATCTAGAGAGTCAGGCATGTGCATTGGGCAATGTTTACACCTATGGTCCCAGGTTTCAAGCCCATAAATGGACAGCTTTGATGACATCAGTAGAGATGTGGATGGTTGAGGCACAAATGGCTTTCACCCGAATGGAGGTAATTAAGTCGTATATAGACGTACCTAGCTAGCTAGCTATAACTATTGTTGTTCTGTGTTACTAATTATTCCTACTTCTGCAATTCTTGATTAATCTATATATGTCTGTTTAAGGATGTCATGGACTGTGCATATGACCTGTTGAAGTTTATATGCAAGTGGGTTGTAGACAAGTCCATTGAGGATGTGAAACATCTTTCGAAACCAACCGGCACAACTTTTGTAGGGTGGCTGCAGTCCATCACAACGCGCCCCTTCAAAAAACTTTCTTATGACAAAGCTATCCTTGTTCTAAATACGGTAATTAACTTAGTGTTCTTGTCACGCACCTCCTATCCACTACATATACAGCTAAATCTTGTTCTTTCATTTTTAAACCTTTTTATTCTTGTAACATCTCTTTGATATGGTAATTAATTGAGCAGATCCTCACTGAAAACGAATATCCATACCCCACTCTAAAATGGGGTCATCCAATACTCGACGGATACGCAAAGTACGCATCTGTAGATCAATTTTTTTTAAATATGGCCATCAATTAAATATATTACAGACATGGCTAAGAAAAATGTAAGGTCTCTTAAATATATAGGAAGTATTAGTTAAAGTTGTGTTTCTGGTGAGTGCAGGTTTCTGGTTTCCACAGTGTATAAGAGGCCAGTCATTATATATGACCATCCAAAACAAGTGAAACCCTTTTATGTGCGCCTCAATGATGATGCCAAAACAGTTGCATCCTTTGATATATATTTTGAGGTAATTATTGTTATATAATTAACCTAGGAGTACACCAACATGGGGTACCTCATATGTACACCAAGCCAACACAGACACACTCAAACACAAAATATTTGTGCAGCACAGACATTGTGTCTGTGTGTGTCTGTGTTGGCTTGGTGTACATATGGGGTACCACATGTTGGTCTACCCCTAGCATTGCCCATTCTTATAATATATACTTTGTGGTAATTATATTGTTAAGAATATATATTCTGTTGTAATTAATTGGAACTTTTATATTCAAACGAGTGAGGGCGCGCGTGTTAGAATATAAAAAAATTTAAACCTCCCTAGCTCTCATCTTAATTAGTTAGCTTCTTTTTGAGTCCTGAATCTGAATGCGTGCATTATTTATTTACTAATCCCAAAATAATTAACACCACCGTACCGCCGGTTATATTAATTCAGGGTGGAAATGTAGTGAACGGATATCAAAGTGAGGAACGTTTGGATGTTCTTATCGCCAGGTATGTAATTAATCAAGAGTTGGTTTATGTTTTTTTTGTTTTTTTGTAGTATTAATTAACTCATTCCATGTTGAATGGGATGCTTTTTAACTACTCGTACGTACCCATTTTGGTCTAAAACAAATTTGTAATTGCCTAACGAATATATCCAGGATAGAGGAACTTGGGGTGTCCAAAAAAGAGTATGAATGGTACTTAGATCTATGCAGGCATGGGAATACAAGCAATAACTCGGGTTTCACTCTAATGCTTGACGCTCTTGTTCTCTCTCTATGTGGTTTCAATGATGTCAGAGATGTTGTTCCATTCCCCCAATGTCCAAAGGCCAACTAGCTAGAGATTAATTATTGAACATTATTATTAATTATCAATGCCTGGGTGGCCACTCTAGCTATTATTATCATCATATCATATGTATGAAAATTACTGCACCAACCAGCGACACACCTAAATACATTGTGTGTGTATATTACTATATTAATAATAACAGTAAAAAGCATAGCCATGTTATTTCTATTATTATAGAATCGATGTTATAATGAAAATCTATGTCTAGCCAATATCTAACCAAGTTTGGCCGGCGAGGAACCCAACCTCATTATAGAATTGCGTAAAACTTGCTTGCATTGTTTCAATAATCATAATGAGTATAAATACAAAATACATGGGCTACATCTACAGGTATTGGGCCAAGCCCGTACATTACACCAAATAGATGCAAATAAATATATAGCTAATACATACTCCCCCTCAAGTTGGCGCATGAAGATCTCGAATGCCCAACTTGGATAAGAGGAAAGAGAACAAAGGGCGATTCAAGGCTTTTGTAAACAAGTCCGCCAGTTGCAGTCGAGTGGGAATGTAAGCTGTTGTATTCTCACAATGTTGAATGCATTTACGGACGATATGACAATCAATATCAATATGTTTCATACGTTCATGAAACACCGGATTGGCAGCAATGAAGAGAGCAGACATATTATCACAGAACAAGCGTTGTGTAGTGGGTGGTGTCACGCCGAGATCCCCAAGAAGTCCCTTAATCCAGCGCACCTCCGAACAGGCATTGGCCATTGAGCGATATTCGGCTTCAGTAGAAGAGCGCGAAACTGTGGTATGTTTCCTTGTTTTCCACGAAAAAGGAGACCCACATAGGAGAATGAAGTAATCGCCGATACACCTCCAGGTGAGAGGACAGGAGGCCCAATCCAAATCACAATAAGCAGATAGTTGTAAGGAACTGTCACTACGAAGGAGTATGCCCTGTCCCGGATGTCCCTTTAGATAACGGAGAACTCGATGTGCGGCATCCATATGATCAAGCCAGAGAGCATGCATAAACTGGGACAGCACGTGGACCAAGTAAGAGAGATCCGGCCGAGTAATAGTGAGATAAATCAGGCAACCAATCAGACGCCGATACTGAGCCGGGTCCTGGAGTGCAGCGTAAGTGGACCGAGCCAAGCCGTGATTGGGCACAATGGGAGTGTCGGCCGGCTTGCATCCCACCATACCAGCTTCGTGAAGAATATCCAAGGCATCTTTTCGCTGACACAAGACTATCCCTTCCGCAGAGCGAGCACACTCAATGCCCAAAAAATAAGATAAGGGTCCCAAATCTTTGAGGTGAAAGCACTGATGTAGATAAGCCTTAAAAGAATCACACAGGTGAACATTATTACCTGCAACAAAAATATCATCAACATAAACCAGAACAATCAAAATGTCAGGGTCGTGGCGATGAATGAATAAGGTATGATCCGCATGAGCTTGTCGAAAACCATAGCGACAGAGGGCACATGTCAGTTTAGCAAACCAATTCCGGGGTGACTGACGCAAGCCATACAAAGACTTACGCAGGTGACACACCTTGCCCGGATGGCGTTGTGTATAACCAAGCGGCAGACGCATGTAAACATCCTCCACCAGATCGCCATGAAGAAAAGCATTGTTGAGGTCGAGCTGGTGGACTTGCCATCCCTTAGGAGCTGCGACGGCCAGGAGCACCCGAATAGATCCGATTTTGGCAACGGGAGCAAAAGTATCTGTATAATCAACCCCCAATGTAACACCCGCCTTCCGTGGACCCGGTTCACCGCGACTCAACGGACCGGTAGGGTTACATGGGCGGTCCGAGAACCGTCCGTAGAGGAAAATGCATTAATGACTATTTATTATGGAAACGGTTGAGTTTAATTGGTGAAATAAATGCTAGGGAATTAATTTCAAAACATGTGTGATTTAAATGCAGAGTAAAAGCGGAAGTAAATTGATAAGTCCAAAATAAATAAAACGACATATGGTGGGTTCATGCCCAAATGATTAATTAATTAAATGTATTTAATTATTGAACTTTTCCATGCGCCGCCCATCTTCCCACCATCACTGTCCTCTAGGGTTAGCACCTGTACCGTCATGTCAACCTGCGTGTAGCAAAAACAACTACACGCTCAGCAAAAGCTGAGGAGTGAATCTAACAAAAGAAAATGAAGTGATAACCCATATGGTTATACACATATAAATACCTGTACTTAACGTACGGAAAACCACATGTTTGCTAACTGATTAATTTGCACTTGATGGGATATTGTTACACATAACAAAATGAATAACAACCACATTGAATGTTGACGTGACATGAAACATACATGATGACAAT